TGTTTTTAGTTTGTTTGCAATCTCTGACGCACTAGAGACTATGATTTGAGAGTGACTACGTCGCATGTCACCCTAAGGGTACCACACTAAGCAGTCAGATTACTCAAGAGTGACCCTCCATCAACCTTTTCTCAAATAGCTTAAGGCTCATAACGTACGACATCGATTAACCTTATTACTGTATTTTGGAATTGTTTTGAGATAAGAAGAGAAAGAAGCTCTAAAAAACCTAGGGTTGAAAGGGGAATAAAACTAACCTAATGTTATAATGCATGGATAAGAATCCTAATGTCTGTCATAATTCCCTCCTGCATAGAGGAAATCAGAGATCCTAGGGGATAAACAGAAAAGAAAGCAAGCAAATACAGTAAAATGCATGCAATGCAGCAATACAAGCGAGGCAAGGGAGTCCCACTCAACCTCGATCCTGGGAAAACAACAGGCAAAGTGAATCAACATTCACTTAAAACCTAAGGGGCAAGCTACACAAGCCAACAAACAATACAGAAAACAAAACCCAAAGCAGAGGAGGCAGTCCAAACAACAGCACCAAACTCCTACAACAATCAGCAGCTCTGACAGCAACAGATGATTAAACAGCAAAATTTGACTGCAACAACTTTCATCTTCATGAATGCTCCTATCCTCAAGCTTCATCAATCTTCAAGCTCCAACAAGCACACTCTAAGAGAAGGATTAATCATCAAGATCAAGTTATAATGTTAAGAAACTTAATGACAACCAAAGGAAATCACTAAGAACTCAACATTGCAAATGAAAGGTATCCTCAAAGTTCTACTCACTTGGGCATACCACTCATCCCTCCTAAGGAGAGATGGAGCTTCCCAAGGAGGACTTTATGTCATTGGATAGGATAGAGGCAAACAATGCACTCTATGTTTGATGAAGAAATCAAAACTAGCTCTAATAGCTCTTCCTAAAACCCTAATTTCCTAAGTTACAAAAAGCTAACAAAAAGGAAAGAAAATGTCCAATCCAAGCTCCACCAGCCACTCCACAAAAGCTTCATCATGTCCATGATATCCTCTAATAAGAACCAGAAGCCCACCATGCAAGAAAAGCTCACTTTGAGTCCATTCCAAACAATCAGCAAAGTTGAAGCACCAAATGAACAATCAACTTGAATATTCTAAATAAAATAGCAAAACACATCACAAAAATCTAATTATTTTCTATGGGAACATGCATTTGTTAGAGGTCTATAGTAGAAAAACCAGGGCCTAAAACTATGCTTAAAGGCACTAAAGAAATCACACACCAAAAGTGGTCAAAAGGGAAATCAAATGGGGAAGCCCCTAAAGATCGAGTTCAAAACCGAACCTAAAGCTACCTAAAAATTAACCTAAATTTTTTTGGGAGTTCCTTAATATGTCTAAAACAAACCAGCAAAGAATTAAGTCCAAATTCTATACCAAACTCCAGAACAAAAATCGGCAAGAAACTATGCAGTTTTTGGCATTTTATTATCCAACTAAGGGAGAAAAACGAAATCAAATTGAAAATTAAACGAAACTAAAATCCAATTACTCACAAAGATCATAGACATGAAAAGGATCATCTCAGAATTTTCTCATATTTTTATAAGTATGTTTTCTATTTTTTTGGAATTAAAATCAAACAACACACAAAACAGAATTTTAATGCAACAATCAAATGGTTAAATTAAATCGGAAAACCAACCTACAGATCGGAGATTTGATCCGGTGATCGTTGATCAAGTGAATTTGCAAAGATACGAACAAGATTAGATGGAAAACTTCAAGATCTATAATAATTCTTGCAAGAAGATGAAGATCGAACACTTCGAATCCGAATTGCTCCGAATAAGTGCTTCCAACTTACGCTCCAATATCCAACTTCAATTTGCACGAAAATTAATTACGAAACTTGATCCGATAATGATGATGAGTGGAGGTTTATGCTCAAGATTCCATTGATTTCAATGAAAAATCAATGGATCCAATGATGAGGAGCTATGAGTGAGGGTTTGGAGAATGAAGAAGTTGAGAGAATTGAGAGAGTGAGAGAATTCTTGAAAATGAAAAATGAAAATTGTGAGGATTTTTTCTTTTTGGTTTGGAGTAGATCACTTAAGTACTCTTTAGGCTTGGATCCCAAGGTAAGGTTTGGACTTTGGCTTGTGAAAATTGGTTTGGAGCTTAATGGTATGATTTTGAGTATGTAACCTCCTTTTGAAGCAATCCATAAAATGACCATTAAATATGACTCAAATTGAAATTCTAACAACGCCATTGTGTTTAGAATGTCATTTGCAATCAAAATATGTACCAATTTGCCATTGTTTGAACCATTGTGAATTATTTTGGATTAAAAGGAGACCTTGCTTGTGCATTATGAATGATTTTGGATATGTAGCTTGTTCTTGAAGTAACAAACTAAAGCACCAAGAACCAAGTCTAAAATGAAAATTCTAATAATTCCATTGTTCTTAGAATGTGATTTCCATTCAAAAAATATACTCATATGCCATGTTTTGGTCCTCTAACTCAAAAAGTCAATTTTCTCTCCTTAATCCATTTAAAATATTCCCTTTTTTAGACCATTTTAAGTGACTTTTTGCTACAAGCCAAACCAATCCCAAATGACCACTTGGTTGCACTTAAAATCCAATTTTAAGCAACTTTCATGTTGAACAAAAATCCATTTGACAAGTACAAGTTGGAGATTTGGACCCATGCTTGAGAATGATCGATAATCACCAATACCCAAAATACCCTTGGATTGCCAAGTTCATAACTTGAGTTCTATAAATCCCCTTGTGGACTTCTAGTACTATATGGAAATCTAAGATCAAGATCTACAACTCTTATGTTGGCCAAGAATCCATTTGAATACTCCTTAAAGGGCAAAAGTTGCTTGGAAGTCAAGTGACTTTCACAGATAAATTTCAGTGTCCTCTGATGACCTGTAATTTGCAAGAACCATAACTTGAGTTCTATAAATCCCCTTGAGGACTTATAGTACTCAAATTAAATTTATTGAGAAGCTCTACAAGTTTCATGTTGGCCAAAGATCCATTTGAAACTTGTATTTTGACTTATATGGCTTTGAGGTTAGGCACTAAACAAGGGATTTTACACTGAAACCCTAATTTAGCAACTTCCCCCATTCTTGATTCTTCTTTGCTTAACCTTGGCACAACACCACACATGTATCAAAATACCAATCCATGAATCCCATGACCTCAAGGTAGGCTTTGATGCTCTCCAATTTGCACAATTGATCTAGGGTTGACCCAGATGAAACCCTAGTTGACTGCACCTCAACTGTGGCTCTTGTACTTGAATCAATGACTTGTCTCAGCTTCAATAGGGTCCTCTAGGAATTCCATGAGATCCATACACACCTCACATTCACATCCCATGCCTCTCATCCCACTGATGATTCTCAACATTCCTCAAGATAGGAGCAAAACCCACATGTAGGCACTCAAACTTCTCAAGACTTCAAATCATTTCTTGATGGCTTGGGTGACTTCTCAAACTTGGATAACACCTCTTGTTGTGCTCTTCTCTTGATAGACACTCTTGATCCCCTGTTGGAGGCATGCTATGCTATGATATACAAATGATTAGAACTATGTACATGATGTAACTATGCAAATGAAATGCAATGAAATATAAACCAGGCAAGAAAAGGTTGAGCAAATTTTGGGGTGCAACACTTATGTCTGATAGAAAATGGAGCTGAAACAAAATCACAATCACAATCACACTCTGATTGAGATAATAGTACACAATCAAACATTGACACTCTGATTGAGATAATAGTACACAATCACAATCACACTCACACATACTTTTATGATATGGGTTTACTAAGATACTGTCTAAAGTAGAGCTCATAAATTGATGATCATGACTGGGATCACAAGCTTTCTCTCTTTTCTTTCCCTTCTCTGTTAATTAATTGATGTACATTTTTCTTATATTAAAATCTTTCTAATTTATCTAGAATCTAGAAAACTCCCACTTCGTTTAATCATGGGTGCACTATAATATGATATACTACACATTACCAAACCTTTATTCTGTATATTTTAGATTCATTCCCTTTTGTTTATACCTATTCTAGTATGAAATACAATTTTTTTTTTCTTTTGCTTCTATTGTTCACTCTTTTTAGTAATTACTTAGTAGCTAAGAATAGTTGGTCAGCTAGAACTCACTTGCATGCATGTCAATTACCAAAAGTATGCCATGTAAATAAAGATTATCAAAAAGAAAATAAAACTTTGTACATCAAAATATACTTTACACATAACATTGAGAGGGAAAGAGAGACTTTTAGTCCTACAAACTAGTAAGATACCTTAATTCACGACACAGTTTCATTTATAGGTTTGTTCTATTTTTCTTACCTATGGATTTGGTGGCTAAACAAAACCACTAGAGTTTGGTGCTAAGGAAACAAATGTTGTAAAATTTGTGGTTGAGGAACCGTTGAAAAATATTTTATAATTGAGAAAATAAATTATTTTGCGACTTGTTTCGTCATGAAGCTGTTAAGTTAGTTTTTCTTCATAGTTAATTATTTACAATTCTGGTTTTGATTCTAATCATAACAAATAATTTAATTTGTTGGATTGTGGAAGAGGTGGTGTGTCTAAAGAAAAAATTGAAAATTGAAATGTGGTGATGTGTGCGAACGAACTATAGTAAGCATACAGGAAGTACTATAGTAAATTGTAATTATGGAGTATCTTTACTCGTGTTTGATAGAGGTTAATACAATCAATTGTTATTCTTGCAGGTTGAAGTACAAATTTGAACTCATTTTCGGTACTGAGCAAAGCTATTGATTTTGAAATTTCAAGGTAGGTACTACTTTATGACTTAAATATATTCCTATTGTTTAGTTATTAAAATAGAAAACTTACTGAAACAAGTATAAATAATATAATAATCAATTGTTTTTTATTACTAGAATATAAAAAAATCCTTGGAGCTACGTTGGAAATGGAAATTCCTCCGCATCGAACATGGATGTATAATAGGCTTCTCCCTGGCCGGAGTGCACATACATATGAATTTTTAAAAGGTGTCGAAGAGTTTATAAACTTCGCTTGTCAACAGAAAGAGTATTTGAAGAATGGTGTAATAAGATGTCCATGTAAGTTGTGCAAAAATGAGGACCACCTCATCCCAGATGAGGCAAACACTCATATTTACCAACATGGGTTTGCACCAGAATATTGGAATTGGACCTGCCATGGAGAGATAATCCCTCACATCAATGATAGTGATGATGATGATATAGATATGGTTGCACCTTGTAGTAATAGTCAACAGTGGAGTTATGAACATGTTCATAGATATCAAGACATGGTGTTTGATGTTGCCAGTTTTAATCGCGAACAACATTTTATACAACAAGAAGAGGAACCTCCAAATATGGAAGCAAAATTATTTTATGACATGTTGAATTCAACTCAACAACCACTGTGGCCGGGATGTAAAAACACAACTGAGTTATCTGCTGCTATTAAGATGTTGAGTTTAAAATCTAAACACAATATGTCACAAGCATGTTTCGATGACATGGTCAAGTTTATGAAGGAATCAAGTCACCTAGAGAATGTAATTCCCTCTAACTTTAGGGAAACAAAAAAACTTGTGTCTGGACTCGGTTTATCAAAGATAAAGATTGATTGTTGCATTGGTGGGTGTATGTTGTATTACAAAGAGGACATAAATTTGAATGAGTGCAAGTTTTGCAATGAGCCTCGATACAAAACATGTATTCTGCGTAAGCGTAAGCGAAACTCTAAAGATGTTCCTCGCAAGAGATTGCATTACTTGCCTTTAATCCCTCGCCTTCAAAGATTATATGCTTCGGCGAGATCCGTAGAGCACATGAGGTGGCACTATGAACATCGTAGGGAAGAAGGCGTGTTGTGTCATCCTTCAGATGGGGAAGCTTGGAAACACTTTGACCAAGTATATCCTGCATTTTCTTCGGAACCTAGAAATGTTAGACTTGGTTTGTGTGCTGATGGCTTTACCCCTTTTGGCCAATATGCAAAACCATATTCTTGTTGGCCAGTAATTGTCACACCATATAACCTACCTCCTGAGCTATGTATGATGATGCCTTATATGTTCTTGACCTTGATCATTCCAGGTCCAGACAATCCAAAAGGTAAAATTGACGTGTACTTACAACCGTTGATAGACGAATTGCAACAATTGTGGAATGATGGTGTAGTAACATATGATGCATCAAAGAAGCAAAATTTTTGATTGAGAGCTGCACTAATATGGACAATAAAGGTTTGATTGCCACCGTCAATTTTTACCTCGTGATCACACTTTTAGAAGAAATAAGGTTATGTTTTACAAAAATAGAGTTGAGACAAGAGAGCCTCCTCCAAGGTTAAGTGGTGAACAAGTGTGGAAAGAGGTTTGTGGGCTTCCTAAAGTAACTAACATGCGGAATTGCATTGTTCCTGGTCGTGGAATTTCACACAATTGGACCGACCAAAAGAAGCATGTTTTGGGACTTGCCTTATTGGAGACACAACTTATTGAGGCACAATCTTGATGTTATGCATATAGAAAAGAATGTCTTTGAAAATGTTTTTCATACAGTTATGGACAACAAAGAGAAAACTAAGGACAACGAAAACGCAAGATTGGACTTGAAAAAGTATTGTCATAGAAGAGAGTTGTTGTTGAAAAAAAATTCTAATGGGAACTATATGAAACCCAAAGCCAAATATTGTTTATCGAATGAACAAAAAATTGATGTGTGCGAATGGGTGAAAGGATTGAAGATGCCTGATGGTTATGCTTCTAATTTGGGTAGATGTGTAGATTTAAAGCAAAAGAAACTCTTTGGTATGAAAAGCCATGATTGCCATATTTTTATGGAATGTCTACTTCCAATAGCTTTTAGTGCTCTTCCCGAACCAATATGGAAGACCTTAACCGAGCTTAGTCAATTTTTCAGAGACTTGTGTTAAACAGTGTTGCGAGAAGATAATTTATTACAAATGGAAAAAAACATTCCTTTGATATTATGTAAGATGGAGCGTATATTTCCACCCGCATTGTTTGACTCTATGGAGCACTTGCCAATTCATTTAGCTGATGAAGCTAAGATGGGTGGACCAGTTTAATATTGTTGGATGTATCCGTTTGAAAGATTTTTAAATAAAATTAAAAACACAGTAAAAAACAAAAGAAATGTGGAAGGGTGTATCTGTGAAGCATATTTGGTGCAAGAGACATCCTATTTCAGTTCCCATTATTTTTTGCCTCCTGCTCAATACTCGAGTGTTATTGGCATAAACAAGGGGATTCATCAAGACCATATGCAACCAACTTTGTCTATCTTTGAACATTTGAATGGCCAAACAACAGGAAAATATTGTGAAAGGTGGCTCGAGGATAGAGAAATGGAAGCTGCACAACTACACGTTCTCTTAAATTGCAAAGAGGTTAAGCCATTTATTGAGTAAGTATTGAGCAATAAATATATCTATATTTTATTAATCTAATAATGACATTAATTTTTAATAATATCTTATGTAGTATGTATGTCCAAAGTTTGATTCCGCGTAGAATCTGTAGAACCTCGTGTGCCCATGTGGGGTGTGAGCGATGGTTATTTTTGGTTCTTCAATTGAACCTGCTGAAATGAGTCGGTACCGCATTTGCATGTGCATAGAGTCGTGTGTCGGTCTCTATGAGTTGCATGTAGACATCTGTGCATGATGTATGGTGAATAAACATGAATGTAGATGTTTATGTAGATTGTTGATAATTGACATGAATGGAAGGCTTGAAGATACATGTATGTGTGAATATATATGTATATGTGTGTATGTTTATGAATTGATATAAACATTGTTGATGCATATTGTATATGCTTGGTACTCTAGTTGTAAATAATTTATTGTGAATACATTGCGATGTACAGTGTAGTGAGATGAGTTGCGGTGAGAACACGGAAGACGTTATTGAACGTTATGTGTGTGTGTGTGTGTGTGTGTATATATATATATATATATATATATATATATATATATATATATATATATATATATATATATATATATATATATATATATATATATATATATATATATATATATATATATATATATATATATATATATATATATATATATATATATATATATATATATATATATATATATATATATATATATATATATATATATATATATATATATATATACACACACACACACACATATATATATATATATATATATATATATATATATATATATATATATATATATATATATATATATATATATATATATATATATATATATATATATATATATATATACACACACACACACACACACACACACACACACACACATATATATATATATATATATATATATATATATATATATATATATATATATATATATATATATATATATATATATATATATATATATATATGTTTATGTGCATTATGTATTATGATATTGTTTCTCACCCTTCTGCTGTTTTATAATGCTCTATGAGGCATTGCAGATTAGATTGCTGGAATCGTTGTGAAGCGTGGCTTCATTCTTTTTTGGTCGGTCGGCTCTGATATGTAGCACCGAGTAGCTAGGGATTATTTTGATTCTTTTGTGATACATCTATGTTTGTATCTGCTGATGAATGTTTATGTAAACATGCTGGTTGAATATTGTTTATATTGATGATGTTGTAAATCAACTTGAATGATGTACATATATGTGATTACATGTTTTGGAAGTTATGAAATATTTAGATGTTTCCGCCTATGTTCTAAATATTTTTCTTGTGGGTGTTTCCCTGTCGTTGCATATCTGTTGAGTAGGTGTTGCATATGTTGAATTTTTGGTATAATGTGATATGCCCCTTTTATGCCGTGATATAAATGTACTCAGATGAAATTTTGAATTTATGCCTAAATGATTATTTGTATTATTTGGGGGTATAGAAAGGGGGTGTTACACAGTACACCACAATAACACAACCTACGCAACAGACAAAAAGTAAAAAACCACAATACCCACAACAACTTGCAGACCACATGCTTCTTATAGCAGAATCGTTACACAAAGCAACAAGTCCATTTTTTTAGCTCACAAATTTCAAGCAAGTTTTCCACTCACCCACAAAATGCTGAAAACGAAATAAGTAGTTGACTCCATACTTGAGGATCTCCAAAGAAAAAAGCTTTGTCTCTATAAGAAGAGATCAGAAATCATCTTTAGGGGGGACCCTTCTAAACCTTAATCTTTACTTGAAAACCACAACCTCCCAAACTTTCAGTTCGTACCGAACCCTCATTCGCCTCTCCCAAAACTCTCTTATTTCTCAATCCACACAGACTGAAATAACCTCAAATCCTTCAAAAACCTCCAACCTTTTCTTTCTTGACCCATCACACCATTTTCAACCTCAAATCGTCAATCCTTATCAACACAAATTGCAACGTGAAACAAAAAAAAACCCACAAAACCAGAAAATAGAAGTGGAAAGTTTGAATAGATTTGAAACCCATTCACATCCAAACCCAAAATAGAGAATGAGAAGAAGAGAATTGAATTAGAACTGAATCGCACGAAATCAAAAGAAAATCGTGAAATAGAACTTTACAAATCTGAATTGGACCGATAACAACGGACGAAAGTGGAGAATCTGACGTTCTTGCTATTTGTTTTCATCATAGTCTTTGGTTTTCACTGGCCGTGATTTTCACAAATAGCTTGACTTGTTGTTTTAAAAACAGTGTTAATCTCTTTTGTGGTTTTGATTTTCTTTGAGGAGGTGAAGTTGTTCCAAGCGTGTTTTTGGTTCTGAATGTTTAGTTACCTAATTTTTGTAAGATAGATTGCAACTCTTGTGTTGGGCCAAACCCGTTTTGATCTCGTGTTGTACGTGAGAGTCCGTTTTCCACTTGCTTTTGGTGGATTCTAGTCATTTCCTCTTGTGGTGATGAAGTTGATGGGCTTTTTAGCCTATATAAATCTCTCTCCCACAAATCCGCACCTCTTTTATTACTAGATACACATCACATGCTTTTTTTAAGATTTATTTTGGTTTTAATGTTTTATAAAGAATATATTAGTTGTTAACACTTCAATTTTCTTTTCAATAAGTTTTTTATGTCTTGATCCATTCGATCTTTTGGATACTCCATTCATGTAGATTTTCGTTTTATTTCTTTTCGATTCAATTCTTGGTCGACAACGAAACCAAAAATTCACCACTAGTAAAATTATTGATAAATGATGATTAAACCGAGACCACTTCTTTTTTTTTTTTCTCTTTTCATTTTCTTCTACATCTTTCTCCTCTCGATTTTATTTCTATTTATCGATCGATGAAGTCTTGGGATTTGTAAACGTCAATTTATCGAAGTCGATAACCTTCATTATGTCAAATCTATGGAAAATGACCATTGGGATCATTTTCTATACTTTGGGGTCGTGATAGCCTACCTTCGTTTAATCGACATGAGTTTATAATTAAGACGAGATCACCCATTTCTTTTGGTCTGTGCGATACGATTAAATTGGAGAATGATCCTCAATATCATTTCTCTATCTTATTTTTACCACAAATATTAATTTGCGTGACCTCCTATAGTTCGATTTTCATCATAAATCGAGCTACGACGGTTTAACGCTACATTTCGTCCCGATTCAATTTACAAATCGACTAACTCTAACTTTACTTTTTTTCAATATACAACTGTTTTATTTTCAGTCAAATATACCCTTGATTTAATTTCTGTCAATTATATCTTGATTTATATTATCTTGTTCATATACTTATTAATATTATCTCGACTATATTATTGTGAATATTATTTGGATTATATTATTATATATCTTGCCATATTATTCATAATTGTTCATACTCATATTCATATTGTTCATTTCTTATTCACACATATTCAAAAATACTTGACAATTATCGAAATAATAAAATCCTAAATTGGTGGACTGTTGGATCATTGGGCTTTGTCAGATACCCTATCTTGGAGTTTTTTCCAACTTTTTCTCAAGGCTTAGTTTAAGAAACCCTGCACACACGTCTTTCTCTTAGACTACCTGATAATGAACCCTTTTATTTCGTGCAATCCCGTGTAACTTACATGTATCCCTCTCCCATTCCGATGTACGCACTCGTATTTTGCTTTGATTATGGTTTATCTTCTAGGAGCACTCTTAGGGACTTGCTTAGATTAAACCGTTTTCAAACTAATTTTT